TCATGCTGAAAGAAAGCTGTGTGGGCCCCATGTGGATAAAGCTTTGTTTGGGCTTTGAAACTATACTTTGGTGTGGCAGTAATTGCTGGGTATCAGATTGAGTTTAAAGTGTGACGCCTGGAACGAGGAGTAAGTCTGGACACAAGTGCCGGGTTGTTGAGACAACAACAGCAAGTGTGGAGCGCTCTGGAGCTCTACTTCAACTAACATCTAAGATTACAGCAGCCCAAGAGAACTCCACTCATCACTCAGTCATTAGACGAAGCAGTTCCAGTGAACGGCGCCGCCTCCCTCAGCCTCGTGTTGGATCAGCACATCATTCTGCAGACTAGTTCTGTTTACGTTCTGTCTCGGACAAGAGTGTAACTACATACCATTACAGCACTCCTTTTGCTTGAATTATTTATGAGCTCAGCGATGGTCAGTATGTCACAACAGCACTGTGCTAATTTGAAAAGAATACAGATATGAAATATTTAACAGCTGGATTTAATTTCCCTCCCTGGTCCTGCTCCTGGCTTCTACACATTCAGCTGATGACCAAAAGCTACGAGCTCCTTTAAAAAACACCATCAAAACATTCTTAAACTACATAATGATAAGGATCAGATTAAAAACAAGAAGTCTCTGTACACTTTAAATTCTTTACAGGGAGGTGAGTGGAATAGATCAAATATCTGTTCAAATTGTCAGGTTCATCAATAAGGCACTTATATTCTGATTTCACATTCTTATAGGCATCCAACAGCACAAAGTAAACAACACTTGACTCGTGCGTATGCCTGCTCTCCTGAGCTACACCGACTGGAAACGAGAGAGGGATGTAAGTGGAGAGGAGCGGCGACTGAAATTAAATCCTTTCAATCTGCAACCTTCACTAGAGCCCTCACAGCACAGAGGGCTCATCAGCGCCCATAGATTCCTCCTTTTTAATCAGGTTTAATCAGGTGGAACATATCGAGAGCCGGATCTTGTTATTACAGGAACTGATGACTTGTTTAAGGAGAAAAATATCTTGAGTTTACTTGGACTCCAGTGCTGTGTGCTATTTGTAAGACTTGATGCTGGTAATACAAAAAAAAGAAAAGAAGCTCTCAGTTGTGTTAAATCATGGCAATGCATTCTGTTATAATCAGTCCAAAATCTTACTCATCTGTTCATGTTGACTAGCATTTCATTGCTTCCTGCTATACTGTGTATGACCACAGGATGGCACTACAACCTCAACATATTAATACCACAGTCGTTTCATGTGGCTTTCACCAAAAACTGTGAAGCTTCATGTATGTATTAAAACGCCTGATATGAGTTCAGAATTCAGTATCTCGAGGTTTTCACGAGCACAGAAAATAACAAGACGCTGCCAGACGTTGTGTGAAAGATGCAAAACAACAACCTGCAAAGCTGCTGCTGCGATGCTGATAAAGACCATGTGCGCTGTTTAAAGTAATATTTAACAACAACAACACACTGACTAAACAGTTCCTCTGCAAACATCTGGGCTGTTTCCACCCCTGCCTACGTCTGAAACAAGGCTCCGCTGATTTAAAAGTAATGCACACAAACAACAGATTAACAAGATTTCACAACAGAAGCATTTTGATGGTTCTGCCTCCTATGTTTTATTTATGCATCTATGCATTAGAATTCTGCTGCATCTGTTTTCTGTCTTGGAAAATTTTCTCAGCTTTTCAGCAAAAAAGCAATGAAGCCATTCGTATCCATGTCAGTCTTAATGTAGTGACAGGAATAATGACCGGAGAGAATGATGAGCTCCTATAAGGCGGCATATTGTATCTGTGTGAGCACATGAAACCCTCAGATAAACATCTTTCCCCATGACTGAATCGCCTGTCATTTCTATCAGCGTCTGCCCTCAAGGAGAGCTGAGGCTGCTAATGCACAACACTCCAGCGTCCTGGGAGACCTGCTTGGCCAAAACCTCACACAGCAGCGAAAAAAAAAAAAAAAAACACTTATGGATGCTGCAGCAGGAACAAACTTGATCTCTGACCAGGTCTGAGTTTGCTGAAGAGGTCACATGTTTCATGGAATGCATAGTGAGCATGGGCTGTTGTTTTACACAGGATAGAATCATATTCGTTTTGCTGTTGTTGTTGTTGTTGTTTGTTTTCATGCACATGGGGACTCGACGGTAGCGGAGACGTACAGAGAACCAGCGTCTGTCTGCAGAGGGAATCCCAAGTGGATTCAGCAGTTTTGACAACTGCCTAAAAGGTTCACTAGAAACACTCACAATGAAAACATCCACAGCTTTTTTTTTTTTTTTTCTGACAGACTTAAACCGATGAAGGCGCCATATTCACCAAAGGAAATTTAAAAACGTTCCTGCCAGTATTACATTTCTGTCTCTGGGTCTATATATTGAACCACATAAATCTGAGTTAATAAAATATCTGAAACATATCAGCTTTAATACTGTAAAATGTATGAACCTGTGAAACATGTTGGGCTGCTGTACATGGCCTATGTGAGGAGATGCTGCTGTTTGTTGCAGTCATCACATAAGCCGGTCAATGCTTCTTTCTAAACTTATATTTTGCACATCCATTTTTATGAGACTACTTGTTGTTGCTTCACAATTCACTGACCTCATATATATGTATACACAGACCCGTTGTTTCTGTTGGCGTTCATCCTTTGCCCGGAACACCATCAGGGCCGACATCTATCGAGTTTGCACCCATCTATTATGCAAAAAAAAAAAGAAAAGCCAAAGCATTATATTCTCATCTTGTGATTATTTTTGATGATGTTTTGTAACTCAGCACCCCTGGCTCAACCTGTTATCTAACACGGCCCTGGTAGGTAGCAATTACCATAATCCAATTCAAATTATTCATCAGAATTCAACATCTCATCAGAAAGAAGAAGAAGAAGCAGAGTGCAACCATTACCAAAATCAAATGTCTTTTTTTTTTTTTTTTTTAAAAACACTAACTTACTGATTGAGTTGTTCAGCATACAAGAGTTATCAGACTCCATACCAGGCAGGAAAAAGTTCCTCTAATGATAGACAACAATACACACAGTGTAGAAGCCTTATATCACATCACAGTAGTCTATAAACTGCACAACGCTATACAGACAAAAACCTGCCATTTAAGTGACTTTATCATACTGCTGTGTTTGTCTCACAATAGGCAATAAATTCTACTTAAAAGCCTTCTTCCTTCTCCTCAAGCCCTCACAGCCTATTATAAAAACACATGGGAGCTGTCCATGCTGCACAAGAGAAATCCAACTTATACGTCTTCATTAGGCAACTACTAACCATTTCTGTACGTTTGGTATAGAGCAAACGCTGCATGCATAAAGCACCGTTTCCTGCAATGAAAACAAAATCATTTATTAATAAGAAAAACAAAAAAACCCACAACTGCAGCATTTCTCGGTGTTGCAATTTTCTAGCAGGTTTTGGAGAGACGTCCACGGCATACAGAAGCAGAGACGCTCACTGGAAACGAAGCGCTCTGGATTTTGCCTGACAAGGCAGAACAGCTCATGCAGAAACACGCTGTCATAGGAGTGAACAACCTCATAAGACTCAGTAGTGTGTTACACTGCGCTGCACTGTTGCACTGACAGACCTGTTTTGTTCTTCAGCGTGCAGCAGTCCAAGCTGAACCAGCAGAAAAATCTGAAATGGATCCATTAAACGCCTTTTACTTTAACTTCACTGCAGTCATCCATCCATCCATTATCTATACACCGCTTCTCACTAGGGGGGCTGGAGTCTATCCCAGCTGACTCAGGGTGAAGGCAGGTTCACCTGGACAGGTAACCAGTCTATCACAGGGCTACACTTAGAGACAGACAACCAAGCACACTCACATTCACACCTACGGACAATTTACAATCACCAATTAACCTCAGCATGTTTTTGGACTGTGGGAGGAAGCCGGAGAACCCGGAGAGAACCCACGCTGCACGGGGAGAACATGGAGACTCCACCGGGACGCAAACCGGCGACCTTCTAGCTGCGAGGCAACGGTGCTAACCACTGCTCTACCTTGCAGCCCTCACAAATGATAGATATGTGTTGAACTCCAGAGTAAAGACTAAGACTCCAACAGTTCAAAGGCTTTATTTCATAGATCATCCATAAATCAATACATTAGCAAATATTCAGTGTTTATAATATTATGAATTTAGAAACACAACAACACATATACACACAAAAGGTTATTATTCGGTCGGTCATTCTTCCTCACATAATTCAGTGACTCCTCTGATGCTCATCCATCATGTGCACCTCAGTGATGTAACGCCATGCAGCAACATAAAGGCTAAAATATATTGCATAAAATGTTACTGAGCTTCCTTTCGATGTTTTTTGAAAAAAAACACACTCTTGATTATCTTGAAACCAATCTCCACCATGACAGAAAACTCTCTTCAGACAAAGATGACGGCGCTCCGTGTCAGTCTGAATCCAAACTGAAGCCTGAACTCACTGAAAAGGAATATCTTCGGCTTAATATCTCAAAATAAACAACCAGAGCCTCAGAAGTTACCCAAGCTATCTGTTCCTGGCACAAATGTGGTGACCTTTCTACAGTGTAGATGCTTAATTACTTTTCTCCTTGCGCACACTGAAATGCTGTGACTTAAAGGTTAACTTCTCCAAGCTGTTATATGCCAAGGTCTTTGACGCACAGTTCAAACTGTAGAAGAGGTGGACGGCCTCGGTCGTTCAAAACGCCGGTAATCGGATGGAGCTGTTCACAAACTCTCAAATGAAAATAAGTCTAAATATCAGTTTCCTGTGATGGACTAATTGGCTAACCTACAATGTCTAAAATACTGTATGTTGACCTGAGCAACAGGTGTCACTTGGCAACAGCTGACGTTAGTAAAAGACTGATTATACAGCTGCATGCAGAACAATGGCAGGCCTTTCAGGGGCACAGACAGGGTTGATGGCTAATTATAAAACAACTAAAAGGTGGTTTAAGACTAAGTTCTGACAGTAAATCAAATCTTGGGAGCAATGTGCAATGAGTAAAACAAAACAAAACCCAAATAAGTTATAAATTAAGTTCCAGTCAACTGATTTTAGGTTGAAATTTGATTTTAAAAAATAAAATAAAAAGGAGAAAAGTATACAATAATCCATCTAAATCAAAATATAATGATGTAGCCTGCACAGGAGTTATTTCAAATACATCATAGCCATCTTAGCCTGTCTGAGTATCAAACCATCTGCACTGCAACCTATGTGAAGATGTGTTTATCTCTTACCCTGATACCTTATGTGGGGATATGTCAGCAGCATGGCGTCACTTGTCCAGTCCAGCCAGACAACACAGAGATCACTGATCATGTCCTGAACCTTCCTCAGGTCCGGAGGGGCCTAAGCCAAAGTCAGCAGGGTGCAGGTGGAGGACACGCTGGAGGAGCGCTCGTGGACGCTGTTGTTATTATCCTGAATTCCTGACACAAACTGTGTCTTCGCGGTGCTGCAGCAGCCCAGAGTGTTGGCCAGCTCAGGGCAGAGGGCCAGCGTCAGCCTCTGAAGGACAAGATGGAATTTCCTGCGGAAGCTTCGGTTTATCCAGAAATAGAAGATGCAGTTGAGGAAACCGTTGGACGTTGGCAGCCACACCACGACAAACTCGATCCACTCTGGTACGCTGCTGCCTGACACTGCTGTGGGTGAAGAAAACACGGAGACTGAAGTAAGGCGAGCATCCACAACACGACGGCAGCAGAGCGAACGCAAGACAGCAGCTTCTACATGAACAAACAAAAGTCTGGCTATGGATGGTCTATGAACATGTACAGGGCTGGAAGTTTTGGTAAATAAATGGTAAATGATCACTTATATAGCACTTTTATCCAAGCGCTTTAAAACATGTCTCATTCATCCATTCACACACATTCATACACCAATGGTGACAGAGCTGCCATGCAAGCTGCTGCCTGCCATTGGGAGCAACTTCAGCTTCAGTGTCTTGCTCGAGGACACTTCAACTGTGAAGGGACAGAGGATCGAACCACCAACCTTGTGACTGGAGGACAACCCGCTCTATCACCTGAGCCACAGCTGCCTCAGTTTTCCCTTTTAAGGCTTTTAAACACTGAATCATTGAATTTAATTTGGCTTTTTTTTGACAAGAATTTACTAAAAAAAGATTCTTTCATGTCAAAGATAGGAGATTTTGGACTAAAATGTTGGACAGCACTCTCTGCCACCACCATCAAAACATAAATTGGAGAATATCTTTTGGAAGAATGGTGGTGATCGATTTCATTAGAGTTCCCGAGACTTGGAGGAACGTCCACTGAAGCTGCTCTGGTGGTACATGGTGGTCCAACATGAGGAGTCACTGAACATTTTGATGAATCTGATGATGATGGGAATAACACGAGGTGTGTCCGAAAGGTTTCAGGACTGGTGGTGTCACAACAGATAGATTTCAAATCCAAACTGCAAACTACAAGAACGGTGGTGATCAATTCAGTAGAGCTCCAGAGACTTGGAGGAACGTCCACTGAAGCTGCTCTGGTGGGACATGGTCAATTTAATTTGGCTTTTCTTTGACAAGAAATTACTAAAAAGATTCTTTCATGTAAAGGTGAAAGCAGATCTCGACAAAGTCATGTCAATTAATTAAAAATGTAAAATAAGTGATTGCACAGGTATTGCCTCCTTTACAGTGACTCGCCATCTGAGCTCAGTGAATGCATCTCAAGTGATGGTATCATAAAGACGCCTGCATTTAGAAGGTACGGTCACTGGTGAATCAGTGCTCTTGGCTGTAACACTCCAAGCAACAAAGATTAAAGAGCTCGTACAGGTCAAGGATAAAATAAATGCAGCAAAGTATGGGGATTCAAGCTGCAAGAAAAGTTACTTAGAAGATTTGTTTGGTTTAAATGGTTTAAAGATATCAAGGAGAATGTTCTGATTTAGAGCCCAGACCTCAATCCAACTGAGGATTTGTGGCTGAACTTGAAAAAGACTCGTGTTGCTGTGCAACCTGAAGTTCTGCAAAGAGCAGGGTGAAATTGCAGCGTCCAGACGTTCAAGGCTGATTGAGACCCATCCATACAGGCTCAACGCTGTAAAGGTGCATCTGTTGAATTCTGCCCTGAAGGGGGTGAACACTGACGCAATCATTTATTTTAATTAATTCACATTACTTTGTCAAAACCTGCTCTCACTTTGACATGAAAGAGTTTTTTTCATGTAAATTCTTGTCAAAAAAAGCAAAATTAAATTGACAACGATTCAAAGTTAAAAAGCAATGAAATGAGAAAACTTCCAAACGAGGGGAACACAGCGTGTAAACGTATAAAACCATAGATTAGCATGTAATATATCAAACTGATAACACATTAAAAACACCTTTGAAGATGCAAGTTTTTTCCCCTGAGAGCAATGATATGAAGCCATCAAGCTAACAGTTATAGTCTTGATGTGAAAGTACAAAATTAAGTGCTAGATTCGGTAGAGAGAGGAGGAAACTACAGCGCGACTCACTAGCATTTAGACAGCAGCGCGCTTTGAAGTTTAACTTAAGACTGTCAGCTTCATTTTGAAGGATTTTTCATCCACATCAGATAAATTACAGCCCTCTTTGGAAAAGGTCTTCACTTCTAAAAATATTCAGCTGTGACTCCACTTTCAGGCTTGATTACGCCAAGACAGCACATGGTTGGAGTAAATGAGAAAAGTCAAAAAGTGTCTGAGTCATATAACTGGCTTTGAATTAGTATATTCATGCCCAGAATTACATACTAAAAACTGTGACAGGCAGCTCTTCCTCTCGGCAAAGTACTTGATGAAATCAACAGAAAGAGCTGCAGAAGGGGGGAATAGATATTAAATGTACATCTTTAAGACCGCATTTGAGTTCTTATGTTAAAGGGCATAGAAATACACAAAAATGAACAGATGCCTTTCAACTTAAACTGACTTTTTTCCCTCTTAGGTTCAGAAATACGCGATACAAAACACCTTAAGTCTCAACATCGTATACGAAACTACTACATGTGCCCAAGCTGCCATTGCACGTTGATGTGGCACTTTTTCAGAAAGACTTCTTTGGCCCATATTAGAAGCTTTAGGACTAGACTGGCTGTAAATGTTCCAATATATTCAGTAAATACCACCGAGTTTAGCTATAACCATCAACAGAATACTATCAGTCGGCTGGATTCCTTTATTCTTCCTTTCTGAATACAACAATAGGATGTGATGCTCTTAGATGAGGAGGTTTTACACTGATACAAGAGATCCATTTTTTAAAGTATGTAAAGATGAGACAAATTAAAGGAAAAACTTTGACAGTGAGGGGATCTGGTGGCTCTGGGAGGAGCTGTACTGACGTGGTTTGCCCCCTTACTGGGAAGGGTCCCTGCAAATCAATACAAAGCTGTTCTAAGCGATCGCCTTTGTCCTGTGATGGAACATTTCTAAACTGATCGGTAGTCAGTGGTCTCTCCATAGGGAAGGAGTCGTCACTGAATAACATAATGGGTATAAAATGATGTGAATCATAAGGTACCTTGGCAGTCACCAGACCTCAACCTAGTTCAACACCTGTAGGAGATTTTGGACTGAAATGTTGGACAGCGCTCTCCGCCACCACCTTTAAAACATAAAATGGAGAATATCTTTTGGAAGAATGGTGGTGATCGATTCAGTAGAGTTCCAGAGACTTGGAGGAACATGCACTGAAGCTGCTCTGGTGGGACATGGTGACCCAACATGAGGAGTCACTGAACATTTTGATGAGTGTGACGATGATGGGAACAATACGAGGTGTGTCAGAAAAGTTTCAGGACTGGTGTCACAAAAGATAGATTTCAAATCCAAACCACAAACTACCAGTTTTCTCCTTCCAAGTAATCCCCCTGGAGTCTAACACACTCCCCCAGCCTTCTCTGCCTTCACGCCGCCATGCACTCCTGGAAGGATTATTCCAGGATCCTCTGCAGCTCCGTCGTCACAGCCATCTTGATGTCGTCCACGTCTTCTAAACAGGTCTCCTTGATGACCCCCTTGAGCTTTGGGAAGCGGAAACAACCCCACGGGGCCAGGTGGGGTGAGTAGGGAGGTTGCTTCTTCTCAGCCAGGAACTGTGGGATGCTCAGGGCGTTGTGAGCAGGCACGTTGTCATGGTGAAGCAGCCACCACTGGTCCTGCTGCAACTCTTGCCTCTTCTTGTACACTGATCTTTTGTGACACCAGTCCTGGAACTTTTCGGACACACCTCATATGCTATGGCCTCTGTAGACAACAAATCTTAACCTGAACCAACACCTGTAGGAGGTTTTAGACTAAACAGTGGGGATATCTTGTGGAAGAACGGTGTTAATCCCTTCAGTGGACTTCCAGAGACTTGGAGAATCAATGCAAAGGTGCACCAAGGCTGTTCTAATGGCCTCACTAAAATACTTTATGTTGCCGTTTCCTTTCAATTGTCGCACTTCTGTACAAAATTTAGATTTTATTGGAGGATAATTTGCACTTTGAAAGCTGAACACCTTCATCTTTAGCCTTACAGACCAAGTGAAGTGCAGCAAAATATTGTCATACTAATCTATAGTGGTAGATCTAAACTTTAACCATGACTTGTGGTTTATAAGAAAGCTTTGACAAATGGAAGCAAGTTTTCAAAGTTAAGGAGAATTACAGACACTTTTCACAGTTTTGTTTATTTTATTTTTTTTGTTGCTTTTTTTCCACCTTCACTTCTACTTCATTTGTCGGCTTATTCCCAGTTTGACTCACCGTTGTAGATCATAGCTGCGATGCAGGGAGTCCAGCAGGTGTAGTAGGCCGCCAGCACCGGAACCAGCACCCTGGATGCCACGTTGTGTCTGCTGCTATGCGCGCAGTCGTATTTGCGCAATTTCAGCCTCTGTCGTTTGGCTGCCCACCACACTCTCAAGTTTGCGTAAGTCATGATGACAGAGCACGGGAAAAATATGAAGCACGTCAGGCTGATGGAGTATCCGACATTAGAGGAGTAGGACGGGTTGCAGACCAGGGACGCGGTGGAAAAGTGAACCTCGATGATGCCATCTGGGAACGAAATGGGCCACAGCAGGCAGGGAGGGAAGCACCAGGTGAACGCGATGAGGAGCAGCGTCCTCCTCCTGGTCATCAGGCTGGAATACTGCAGCGGGTACAGCACCGCGATGTACCGCTCCAGGCTGATGGTGGCCAGCGTGTACATGCAGGTGGAGTAGACGGTGGCGTTGCAGAAGGCCACGACGTGACAGAGCGCGTCCGGGCCCTCGGTGTAGTCCTTCAGCAGACTCACCCACAGGTTCAGGGGCATCACCAGCAGTCCGAAGGCAGAGTCCGCGGCGGTGAGAGAGAGCAGGAAGTACCGGGAGTTTCTGGACCAGCCGGCCACCGAGGAGGTGATCACCAGGAGAACCGCGATGTTCCCCAAAGTGATCACGACGCCCAGAGTGATGATGATGCTCACCTTGACGGCGCGGTGGCTCAGCTCCTGGAGCCGCGCCGCGTCCGACAGGTTGGAGTCCGGAGGAGTGGACAGGTTAAAGGCTGTGTACATGGTGGGTCACAGAGGCATGAGGGCGACCGGATCATAGGTAAGGGTGAGGCAAGAAAACAACAAAGAGATGAAGAAAGAAATGAGCGTTACATTAGAGAGCAGCTCTGCAGGCAGCTTCTGATTCCACCTCAACAATCAGCACAACACACCTGAAGCAATCAGTCTCTGAAAAAGGCCAAAACAGCTTTTATTGGCACTTTTTAAAATTATGTTAATCTAATTCTATTTTATGTGTCTCTGCAATATGATACAGCCACTATGATGTATAAAATGTTGTCAGAATCCAGCTTTTAAAAATGTTTATTTTATTTTTTTAAATCATGCGTGTTTTTTTCCTCCGACTGCTTCTGTGCAATTGGTTGGATATACAGTCGTCCTCAAATGTCTTCATACCCTCCCATTAAAGAAGGAAAAAACAGCTTCAGTCACTGAAATAAGCTGAAATTGACAAAAGTAATAATAAATAAAATGTTAATGAAAATCATGACTGCTTTTGAATTGTGGTTCAACAGAAATATATATATTTTTAAAAACAAGCATGATGGGACCCATAAACTAATATTTAGTTGAACAACTCTTTGAGCCAATCAAGTGTTTTCTGTAAGTCTTAATCAGACTTCTGCACCTGTTGACAGGTATTTGGATTTCAAAGTGCTCTTAATTCTCCGGGAGAGTTTTTTTTTTTATCGTTATGCTTTTCAACAACAATTCAAAAGCAACATCTTATTTCACTAAGTTACAATTTACCAAATTTTTATTTATTATTACTTTTTTCAGTTTCTAGTTATTTTAGTGACTATTTTGAATTTTGCCTTTTCTTTAATGGAAGGGGACGAATACATTAGAGGACGACTGTATTTCATGCAAACAAGTCCCAAATGGTGAAAAACGCATCCATATGCTCACTGTGATGTTGGCAATGTGCACACATGTCTGAATTGACTGTTTTTATAAATGCATTGCTCAAAGATCCGACAGTGGCTTTATAGTGGTGGGGCTTGATACCAGACCTTCGGATCGTAGCCACAAGCGTTAACTATAGTTAAAAATGCATGAATCTACTAATGTATACACAACATATATGTGCATATGAATGTACATGCATATGAACAGTCACAGCAGGTCTTGTCTTGAGGAGGTTGAAGAAGTATCTTGGCTTGGCTGCACTAATGCAGGAGAAACACCACCTAAACATCCACTTTTTTTTTCTTTTTTTTCCAGTATTTATAGATGGGATACAAATTAAAGGAAAAACCTGAACCCTTGACCCCTACAGCGAGGGGATCAAGTGGCACTTTGATGCTGTGAGAGGCTCATTTCGCTGGCATAGTTTGTGTCCGCTTGTGGCCTCAGGGGGAAGAATCACTGCAAATCAATACAAAGTTATTCTGAGTGATCGCTATTATCCTATAATGGAACATCTCTGTCCTGATGGGAGTCTCTTCCAAGACGACGATGCCCAAATCCATAGGCGACGAGAGGTTACTGGATTATTAGCTGAGTATGAAAATGATGTGAATCACATTTTGTGGCCTTTGTAGACGCTTAAGATCTTAACCCAATTGAACATCTATGGAAGATTTTGCATTGACGCATTAGAAAACACTCTTCAACAACAGCAGCACAACACCGAAGGAGGGAATATCCAGTCCCTGAAGCTCTACCTCTTCAGTAGGGCTCCAGGGATTTGGAGAATCAATACCATTGAAGCTGTTCTGGTGGCCCAACACTTCACTAAGACACGTTATGATGCTGTTTTTCTTTACTTTATCGCCCCTTATGTACAGAATTATATCTTCAGTTGTAGGACTGGATCATAATTTGCACTTATTAAAAGCACAACATGTTCATCTTTATTCTTAGCGACTGAGTTCACTTAATTGAGTGTTTTTATATCGTGCAAATGCATGGATTTAAAAATATACAGTATGTGTTCATGTGGGTGGGTGTGTGTGTATATAGGGTGTTTGAGGTGCAGAGATATTTCTGGAGCAACTTTAGGGCAAGTTACCAGAAAATAGCTTAGAGAGAAAGATAAAAGAGGGCCATAGCAGGCGTTTGTCTCAGTGGGATTCAGGACGGATCAGTGTGATGGTTCGGTGTACAAGATTTCCTTTATGTGTATCATGATGCATCCTTCACACACTGCAAGCACGTGAAGAGAAATATTGGTCATTGTTGCACAATATCTTCCCGGCGAGAAAATGGGAGACAAAACACAGATCTATTATTCCATGCAAAAAAAACCTCATTTTTAAGTGAACCTAAAGCAAATCTGAGATCTCAGCAGGTTGAGTTAACCAACTCAAGAAACCTCAATGTGTATGTTTGGCATGAAGATGATTCAAATAGATAGAAAACACATGTAAATTAGTCTTCAGGCACATAATCACACTGGAAATCAGGGTTTTTAGATCCCACTTCAACATCTGTACAGGCAGGTTTTATCCAGTAGAGCATGATGCGTGGGTGCTGGGCTACAACAAACATAAGTGAAAATATGTAGAGGCTGACCTGTTTGATCCCTCCGTTGCTTTATTAATTACAATTTGCAAGACTCTCCACTCTGCAGGGCTTTCACTGCACATAGTATTGTCTCATTAATTGGAGTTAATGAAGGTGCCATCTGACTGCAAAGTGTGTCCTCTCCAGTAACACCAGTACAAACTAAATGTTTGCGCCATCACGCCTGAATAATTCAACGACGTTCCAGCGCAAACGCCAAAGATCTGTGTCCGTCTACTACTTTTAAAAACGGCTCCGTTTGCGAAATAAAGTGGAGGTAAATAAAAATGTCACTTCTGTCTGTATTCACAACCTCTTCCATCAATCTCCCAAGTTCGCGGGCCTCACCGGCGTGGCAGGTTTCATCAGCAGCAATAACAACGAGTCAGTCAACAATTCATCACGACCAAAAAGGTCCCACGGAAGACGTACACTCTGTCAGCCTGACGTCTCGCAGCCAATCATGGGGCCAATTTCCACCATCGCACACCATCAGTGTCAGGCTTTTTCGAGCTCAAGTGTTTTTTTTTTGTGAGCGCCGCTGAATGGTAGCTGCCAACGTCCCTCCTTCAAAAAAGCTACATGACACAAGGGCGAAGAGAAAAGGGCGGCAAAGATTGTCACTGACCTTTCCCCACACAGATAACCATCTGTTTCACAGGTATGACAGTGTCTCCATTATATCAACACGCTCTGCCCACCTGCATCCCCACAGACGCTAATCCCAAATCTGATTTATCAAACACTCTTACACATCTTACGTTTAATAATTTACTTAATTCATGCATGGGAAATTTTCTTCGTTGGCAATGAATGTCACGGAACTAACGTATATTGTAGGAAAAAAGAAGATCAAGGGTGCAATATTCATAATGTAGAATACAGATGATAAAATTACATTTTTAATGATGACTTTTCCCTGCAGTGTCCTACGCCACCTGAAATCATCAATCTCCCATCGTTCTGCTCGTATTAGGCGTCTTTAACATCAGCTGCAACAGTGAGCCATGGGAGGAATCTGTCCTACAAATGTTGTACCGCACATACACAAGGTGAACCGTAAATATGCATGTATATACAGTATGTGAGCACAGACATCCAGATTTTCTGTTCTAGTATCATGACCAGACCCCACCACTCCCCCCCCCAGAGGGGATCTGACAACTATCTGGGTTTGATATATGGCTTTCTTACTGTCCTAATGAGCAGATTTCTCTTGGTGATGTCTAACTAGAGACCCGCAGGAGGGGATGGACCGAGGCTCTTGGGTTAATACTCTTACTACCCTTCCCCCAGTTTCGCTCCTTTATGTTCGGCGTACAGTCACATGCATGACCCTTACCTGATTCTGTCTCATTTTGAAGGAATGTGGAAGCAACAGACAGGCACGGATATAGCACGAGATACTACATAGGGTACAAAAGTGTTTTTTTTAAGGAAGTAAATGCTACAAGTAGCAATGCAGCAGTAAAAATCTTAATTTTACAAGAATAAAAATGCAAAAAGCATCAAATTACACCTGTAATACCAAAAGAAAAAAGTAATTATTATGCAGACCGGCTCATTGCTAATTTAAAATAACTGATATTCTAACTGAATCCATAATATTACAACATAATTTATTTGTTAGCTGCACCATAATTTGTACTACTGTTAGCAATCAGTCTGCAAAAATCACTGCCGTTGACTAAAAGTAGATGATTTGCTCCTGGAATGTAGCTTAAAAAGAAAAATTACTCAAGTGAAGTACAAGTACCCTCAGTAAGTACAGTACTTGAGTAAATCTAATTAGCAAAGAAAGTAACTCAGAACTGATAAAGAGGTTTGTCAGTCTATTTAAAGTCGATCTTTAAAGAGCGACCTAAAGCGCATTTAGAAGAAAATGAAGGAAGTGCACTTTGAGCCACTCTCACATTCTCGCCGTTTCATTCATAAATCCAGCTGCGTCTTTTGGAGTATTTCTGTGTGGCTCAAGTCCTGAGGTGTTTTCATGTGACAGGGAGGGAGTGTTTGTGTGTGCGAGTGTGTGTGCGTTCCTACGTCGGGTCGACATGTGTGGGTGTGCGCACACAAGCGGTACTTGGCCAAAGGTGCATGAGTAAATGTAGCTGATCCCATGCGAACATGAGTGAGATAGAGAGAGGATGAATTTGTACATGCTTGCAATTGAATATCCTGCGAGTGGGCGGACTCCTCCATTGGCCACCCACTCCACAGCTCTTCCTGATGTGGAGGAAGGTAGCCATTGATTTGATCTGTCTGTGCATGTGTGTGTGTGTGTGTGTGTGTGTTTGTGTGGGCAGTAACACTATCTAATTCCACCGGCGAGAGTTGATGCATGATGTTTAGAAGAGATAGCATGGTGGGGAGGCTTGATGGGTGATTGTGTGAAAATTTGATGTCTGCCATGACAGTCTGTCTTCCTGATAACAGAGCCCAAGCCAGAGTAGACAAAACCCACCTGGCAGGTTGGAAGTTATTAAATCGGCGTCTAA